AGAGCCAGCCTTGGGCAGAGCCCTGAGAACTCCGTGCCCATAGAGAAAAGGCCCTGAGGCAGCGAGGCTCGGAGAGGGGTCTGCGGAGTCCCCTGCGTGGTGTGCTCCCCGACTTGGAGTTGGGGCCCCAGATGCCGACGTGTCACTGAGGACTGGCATTTGGGGCAGCTACTTTGGGCATCACTGCAGTTCTTCGGGGGCTAAAAATACACGGTTATTTTTATGCCGCACCCGGAGGCCCTTCAGGGTGTCAGTGAGACGTCTTGCACACCTGGAGTGAGTGCGAGCAGCCCCTCGCCTGCTGCCGCCGTGGGAGGAGGTGACAGTGTCTCCCCTAAGCAGGAGCACGGGGTTGAGTAAGACGCCCTTGCAGCCTCTCCCGGGAGGGTTTCTCGGGAGGGCTCGGGTGGACACCCCTGGCTCGTGGTCTTGGTTTGGTCCCCAGTGCCTCCTCCCAGCTCTCCTGCTCCCGTGGGGCCCCTGGGTCGGGCAGCCTCTCCTCACTGCCCCTCGAGGGGCCAGGCTGCTCCGTAGTGGGTCTCAGCAGGTCACTGACATCATTCTGGCCCCTGCCTGGGCCCTCCGCTTACCTCCAGGGCTTCCTCCCCCCACCTCCAGGCCCCTGGCTTTGCCAGCCACCCTCCGCCTGACCCTCACACAAGGGCCTCGTACTCAGCCCGTGCTGTCTGGAGCCTGTGCAGGCCCAGCCCATGCTGGCCCCTGGGGTCACATGGCCAGGAGACCTCAGCACGGCCAGAGTGAGTGAGGGAAAGGGAGTCGCCAGGCCTGTCCTGACACGTGTCCGTGGGGACGAGGCTGAGGCACCTGGTTCCCACTGAAGTCAGGCCTCCGGGTCTCAGGCCCACGTCTGTCGTGCACGGGTGGTGTAACCAGGCAAGCTTCTGTCCCTGTGCCTCGCTTTCCTCGCTGTAAGGGGGGAGGCTCCACCTGGGGTGCTGAGGCGTGCGCGCCACGTCGTGAGTAGTCCCTGGACCGAGAGTCAGAAACCGTCAGGATGACCCCCAGAGCCCGGCCTGGGCCTCCACTGGTCTCGAGTCCGGGCTCCACACTCAGTTACGGAGGGGACGTAGGTGAGCTGTGTGGGTGGCACAGGGGCCAAGGTCAACAGGTAGGAGGGGTCAGTCTCTGGATGAGTTTGGACCCGAAATGGAGTCAGGAGATGAGCCTTCTTTCCTGGTCACCTACCCAGACAGGTCTGCCCAGCAGCTAAGACCCTGGATTTGTCAGCTGCCCTCCATTCCCTTGGCCCGTGTCAGGCACCTGCCAGTAGACCCAGCCTGCACCTCCTGGGGCCTTCCCGGGAGGCTAACACCTCTGGCCCGTTTCTTTGGACCGAGAAAGGTGAGAGGTGTGTGCTGTGGGGCTGCGGGAAGGCCGTGCTCGTCTGCCCGAGAACAGGAAGGCGCAGGGGTGTCTGCAGTGCTCTCCGGGCCGCCCCGGGCACGTGGCAGGTGAGCCTCGAGCTGCCTGCGTGGCCCTGGGCAGCAGCCCGAGGCCTGCTGTGCGCCCGACGCCTGGTGTGGGCTGTGGCTGTGCCTGCGGCCCGAGCAGTGCAGGTCACACTGCGCACAAGGCCACACTGCGCACACGGTCACACTGCACACACGGCCACACTGCGCACACGGCCACACAGTGCACACGCCCACACTGTGCACAGGCCCACACTGCGCACAATGCCACACTGCGCACAAGGCCCACACTGCACACACGGTCACACTGCACACAGGCCCACACTGCGCACACGGCCACACTGCGCACAGGCCCACACTGCGCACAGGGCCACACTGCGCACACGGCCCACACTGCGCACACGGCCACACTGCGCACACGGGCCACACTGCGCACACGGTCACACTGCGCACAGGCCCACACTGCGCACAGGCCACACTGCACACAGGCCCACACTGCGCACACGGTCACACTGCACACAGGCCCACACTGCGCACACGGGCCACACTGCGCACACGGCCCACACTGCACACACGGTCACACTGCGCACAGGCCCACACTGCGCACAGGCCACACTGCACACAGGCCCACACTGCGCACACGGTCACACTGCGCACAGGCCCACACTGCGCACACGGGCCACACTGCGCACACGGCCCACACTGCGCACACGGCCACACTGCGCACAGGGCCACACTGCGCACAGGCCACACTGTGCACAGGCCCACACTGCGCACACGGCCACACTGCGCACACGGCCACACTGCGCACAGGCCCACACTGCTCACAGGGCCACACTGCGCACAGGGCCCACACTGCGCACAGGCCCACACTGCGCACAAGGTCACACTGCGCACAGGCCCACACTGCGCACAGGGCCACACTGCGCACAGGCCACACTGCGCACAGGCCCACACTGCGCACAAGGTCACACTGCGCACAGGCCCACACTGCACACAAGGTCACACTGCGCACACGGCCACACTGCGCACAAGGCCACACGACAGGGTGGGACGCAGCCCTCCCGGCAGCCGCATTCTCTCCCAGAGGCTCCTCCTCCGCCCGTGGCCACAGCAGCCGGGGATCACGTGGCAGGTGGTGGCCTGAGCCTGCCCACCCCTGGGTCACCCTCCCTGGTGAGGGAAGGCGGGCAGACTCAGAGCCAGCATCTCCGGGGTTCGCGGTCCTGGGGGAGCGTGTCTTGCGTGAAGGCTTAGGACCCAAGTGGGACTACAGAGACCCGTGATGGAGCGGAGCGCAGCGTTAGATGCAGAAACCCGTACTCCCCCCTCCCCGCTGTCCTTCCGGCTCGGGCGCCTGTGGGCTGAGTCCCTGGTGGTGGCTGCACCCAGCGTCTTGGCAAAGTAGGCTGGGGGCAGAGGAGGGTGGGAGGGTGAAGACCAAACGGAGGTGACAGACCTGCAGAAGCCTGGCGGGAAGGGGAGAAGAGGGGGCGCAGGAGAGGAGCTGCAGGGGGGCTGGTGGGCTTTTCCAAACCTGTTTGCCTACGACATGCTGTGCAGCACCTGAAGCTCCCACAGAAAGGGCCGGCCCCTCGACAGGGCGTGATGGGAAGTAGCCCCGCTTTTCTGTTCAAAGAAGTTTCGTATCGACACGAGGACCATATTCCTGCTGAGCTGACGTGTGGGCCCCGTGACCTGAACGAGGCCTCGTGAAATGCGTGGCACCCTGGTACCGACAGGGCCCAGCACCCCGTGCCTCCACATTTGGAAGGAGGGTCCCTGTGAAGGGGGGGGCAGGGAAGGAAGAGCAGGCTGGCTCCCCCCTGCGGCCTGGCGTTGGGGCCGTCGGAAAAGTCCGGATGAGGAACGGTCTTGGCGCTCGGCTTGGCGCGAGCTCTCAGCAGCAGTGGGAACTCCAGGAACGCTGCCCTGGGCCGGGGGCTGTTCACCCCGCTGGACGAGCCGCAGACCCTCGGCTGGCTGGGGTGGTGCCGGGCTCGGCTCAGCTCTGCCTCCCGGTGAAGTCCCTGCTCCAGGGGCACCAGCTGCTCAGGCCGTGCAGCCGGCCAGCCCCGAGGGCCAGCCCCCAGGAGAAGCCGACTCCCCAGCGGCTCATCGTCGGGCTGCTGCGAGAACGGCTAGCGGCCTCCGGGAACTCCCGCCGGAGAGCCAGTGTTGCATCACGTGTGAAAGGAAGTTTTCCTTCCACTGGACCGAGGCCCAGAGCCTCAGGGAAGGTGGTGAGACCTCTTGGAAAAGCCCAACAAATGGGGAAAATTAATGGAAGGTTTTGTTTCTTATCTGACCCGTTTCTGATGCCCGTCCACGGTGGACTCTGCTTGGTGTGGGCCTGGCATGCATAGGCCCTCCACCAGCCCTCGGCGAGGCGCCCACGGTGAGCGTGGCCGCTGTGGCCCGCCCGGGTCAGGTCGAGCGAGGGCTGCGGTGGCGTGACGGCGGGGCAGGCCCTTGGGAGAGGCCTCAGGGCTGTTGGCCAGCTCTCCCTGGGGAGCACACAGGCACCCAGACACCACTGCCCCTCTGCTGACACCCCGTCCACGGCCAGGCTGGCACACGGGCTGCTCTAGTGGCCTTGGCTGGGCCATGTCGGCAGGACGCCCGGCGCACAAAGGCCGTGTAGCCCAGCAGCTGGGGCATCTGGCAGGCTAGCTGTCATGCTGGGTGTGTGGAGGGCCAGGGAGCAAGGGCACAGCCTTCGGAAGCCACTGTGATGACAGGCATTGTCACAGTGGCCAGCACGGGCACGCTAACAAGCTGGGCCCCACGCGGAGTCACCTCAGTTCCCAGGATGGCTGCGAGCTCAGCATGCCCTTCCCCTCACTGAGGGGCAAGTGGGCTCGGAGGTGAGAGTCGGGGCCGTGCCCTGATGGCACATTCCTGCAGTGGTCCTCCCAGCCTGGGAAGCCTCTGCCAGTGTGGAGGTGAGGGCCCGAGGCGTGGGCAGGGCCCGTGGGGGCCTTCGCCGTGGGTGTGGTGTTCGAGCCTTTGGAATGAAGGTGGTTGATGGTGGCGGTCCACCAGGACCAGGGATTCCTCCTGACCTCGGTTGTCTCGGGAATGACCACAGGCTGTGGGACCTGCCACCTCCTCTCACTGTCTTGCCCCTGCCCACAGATGTCAGAGGACAGCCCCCCAGTGCCAGGAAGGGTGTGCATGAAGGCAGGAGGCTGTTCCAGCAACACCGGGGAGGGCGGCCAGGGCCCTGGGGGAGCCACGGCCGGCCCTGGGGCAGGGAGGGTGCGGAGCGGGACTGGGGGAGCCACGGCCGGCCCTGGGGCAGGGCGGGTGCGGAGCGGGACTGGGGGAGCCACGGCCGGCCCTGGGGCAGGGAGGGTGTGGAGCGGGACTGGGGTAGAACCACGGCCGGCCCTGGGGCAGGGAGGGTGTGGAGCGGGACTGGGTGGGGAGCCACGGCCGGCCCTGGGGCAGGGAGGGTGCGGAGCGGGACTGGGGGGGGAGCCACGGCCGGCCCTGGGGCAGCGCGGTGTGGAGCGGGACTGGCGGAGGCCCCGGGCAAGCGGTGAGCCCGTGCCTGCTGTCTTGCAGACGGTCTCCGTGCTGGAGCAGCGGCTGACACTGACGGAGGACCGGCTGAAGCAGTGCCTGGAGCATCAGCAGCTAGCGGCACAGGGGACGGCGCCGTGACCCGGAGCATCAGCAGCTAGCGGCACAGGGGACGGCGCCGTGACCGGGAGCAGGCACCAGGAGCTCGGTTGATTGGGGGGGGTGGCGGGCTGGGGTTTGTACTGTGGGACTCAGCCCAGCGGGAATCACATCCACCCTGAGCCTGGGGCTTGTGCCGGTCTGCCCAGCTGTCCGTACCTGGGGCCCACACCTGCCCAGCGGGCCCCAGCTGGTTCGAGGGGAAGGAGCTGCTGGGGAACGTGAGCTGCTTCAGTCTTGAGAATCCCGAGAGCCCAGTTCCCAGAGGAGGTAGCTCCAAGCCCTTGTTTCATTTGCCTTGCTGGGCTTCGTCCCTCCTACCCTGTGACCACTGTCCCCGCCATCACAGCTGAGACACGATGGCTCCCGGATGGATGACCCAGGACTGTTCTCTACTCGGACGGAGGCCCCAGCGTGGGCCCATCTGACTTGGTGTGTCCAGGACTGAGCACTGGCTCTGCAGTGGCTTGATTTCCGCTCTGCCTGGGCCCTGGTGGCCTCCTCTGTGTGCACCAGGGCAAACGAATCAGAATTAAAATGGACTTGATTGAGGTTGTTGTAGAAATGGCTCGTTCTGAGAGGCCTAATCAGCCCCGTCCCCAGGGCCCATACAGTGAAAATGATGATGGCCACTTGGGAGGTCCCTGCTAGGATCAACTCTGAGGCCAGGGCACCCTTGTTTTCAGCCGTTCAGGGTGTTGGGGGAGCAGGGACAGCCAGAGCCCCTGCATGCCACCTCCCTCCTGGCTGGCCTCAGCCAGCTTCCACTGGGACCTGCAGGCACCGCATTTCCACTGGCTCATGGGGGCTTCCCGAGGCTCCTCCCTCTGCGTCCGTGCAGGAAAGCAGGCGTGTTTGCCCCATGTCTGGTGTCCATGCCTTCAGCATTCCGCTTGGGGCCCAGCCAGCCGGGCCGGTTCGTCCTCCAGTGCACCTGCCCTGGGGGCGTGGGGGGACAGTCAGAGCTTCCCAGGAGCTGTCAGTGCCACTCGGCTAGTACGGCTCCAGCTGCCGCGGCTTCCTGTGGGAGCAGCCTGGGAGCTCCCGCGAGGCGGCCGACGGACGAGAGCAGGCAGCTGCCTCCAGCGGCCGGGGACGCAGAGCTGAAGGCCGGGTCAGGCTGAAGGCTTTTGGCCCGCTGTGTGACCTCGACACGTTGACATGACCTCTCTGAGCCTCCGGTTCTTGTGGTGAGTGGTGGCGGTAAGTCCCTCCAGGTGGTCGCGAGCTGGGTGCCGCACTCACCCACGTGCTGTGCCCATCGCTCCCCACCCCACCGGGCCCACGAGGACAACGGGCCGCTGTCAATGACATGACGACACGATGACATGACATGACGACGTGCTTCCCGAGAGCTGTAGGTGGGGAAGAGGCTGCTGCGTGCACCCCTGGGGCCCCCCAGCGTGTAGGGGAGCTGGCAGGCCTGTTCGACTTGGCAGGCGGGGGCCGTCAGTTGCTGCGGCGGCCACGGCTCCCATCCTTGGAGGCTTTTGTGGAGAGTGCAACCCTAGTCTGCTCTGGGGGTGCAGCTAGTGGGGCGGCCCTGTCATCCCTCGTGCTGGCTGTCCTGTGGCTTCCGGAGCTGGAGCTCCTGGGAGCTAGGGCTCCGCTGATTGGAGCAGCAGCCCCGGGAGGGGCCGTCTCCAAAGACACGGTGGTGTGGGGGTCTGCCAGGGATGTGGGAAGTGGCTGGGGTGGGGGGTGCTGGTATTTGTCCCTGGAAGCCCCACTACTGTTATTCAATGTAAACTGGTGGGGGTAACCACACGTGCGCACCCCCCACACCCACACCCACACCCACACACACCTTGTCCTGTGGGCCCTTCCCTGGAACTTTGTCCATGTGTCCATGGTGCACCCAGGGTCCCTCTGGCCCCGAAATTCCAGGTGGCCAGAGCCATGGTCACTGGTCCAGTGGTCCCTGCTATGGGCATCCCGGGGGGGGGGGCGTAGGGCTCAGGGCAGCCCCTGTCACCTGCGGGAGCAAGCCCTGCAAGGCCACCTCTGCTGCTGTCACCGAGGCCCCGCAGGCTCGGGTGGGCGGGTGTGACTGCCCGGAATCCCGGAAACGGCTGCTGAGCCAGCGGGAGCACGCTGAGTCATCTGCCCTGTGCCCCGCTCCCTGCCATTAACCTCTCTTCCAAAATGATTTGCTCCAAGCCGGGGTCCTCGCCAAGCACCCCACTCCACCCGCCGGCTGCTGAGGGGCCACCTTGGCAAGGCAGCCGTGGTGGGCGGGTGACGCCGGTGCCCGGGGCATCATCGCACTTGCTTGCGCATCTCGGTCCGGCACAAGGCCTTGTCCCGGGCCCGGTGGGCTCACCCCGGCTGGTGGCCGGCACCTGGGCGCACTCGCTCAGCCCCTTGGAGAGCCTTGCTCCAGCGGTGTCACCCTGCCTCCTAACAGGAAGGCCCGGGACCGGGGCCGTCAGCCATTTGCAAGATGAGACAAGCCAGGGCGAGAGCCTGGGCGAAGCCGTCGGGGAGCTTCCTGTGCTTCAGCCTGAGGAGAGCGAGCCCCCAGCCCGCTGCCGGGGGCGCTTCCAGGGAGCCGGGGCAGCGCGTCCTGAGGCTGCCCGTCTTGGCCCAGGCTTCTCTCTAGGCACAGTGCGTGCTCCTGAAAGGAGGACCCCAGCTCTTCCGGGGTGCCTGGGGGCAGAGGCCTGGCTGTAGGAGCCAGTGGTACTGCACCTGCCCGTCTGCACCCTTCCCCGGCTGGGCACCCGGAGGCCAGACCGACTTCGGAGCGTGGACGGCCCTGAGCACCTTGGCCCACGTTGATGGAGGCCACCTGTCCGGGGCGCAGGCCTGGCCCAGGTGCACGCAGCTGCACGTGCTCAGCTGGCCTCTTCCAGACCCCTGCCCCCCCCCACCCCCAGCGCAGGGCCTTGCCTTGGCCGGGCAGGTCTGTAGACTCACCGGTTCTCCCAAAACTCCTGTGATGCTCTACCCCCGCTCTGCACTGAGCCCCTCAAACTCTGACCCCAGCCAGAGCCACCCCAAAGATGCCCTTGTCCCAGGGTTGGCTCAGGAGCGCTGATTGTGCCCCCCAAGACAGCGCATTCCCACCCCCGCTCTGCCCCGACGTCTCTGCCATGACCACTGCTCCAGGTCCGGCTCCCGGGAGCCCCTGGGTTCAGGGCAGGAGAAGCGCCGAGTCCTCCCAGGCCCCAGGCAGAGCGCGTGCTGCTCGCGAGAAACCACGTTCCTGCCGCGGGCCGGCCCTCATCTGGGCTGCTGCAGTGAGACTCCTGGCTGGGACTGTGACGCTGACCTCTGTTCCCAAGGGTGCCCTGGCCCTGGGTGGGGTCCAGCTCCCCAGTAGTTAGGGTGTGCTCAGGAGTAGGGTCATTTGTGAGGGCCCATGAGGACACCCGTGCCCCCCGAGATAACCTGAAGTCTACTGTTGGAGACAGTGCGTCTGGTGTGGGGTCCTCAGCCCTGCGGGCCCCTGTGGTGGGGGAAAGGAGCCTCAGGCTAGGGCAGGGCAGGTGAGGGCCCTTTCCATGTCCCCCGGAAGCTCGGGCCTGCCGCCACTCGGGCCATCCTGGAGCACCCCCCCCCCCCCGGGAGCCAGGACCTGCAGGGAGGTGGCCTCATTTCCTGCCTGGTCTCCACTCTGCCCTGTGCCACCCCACTGTTCTCCACATAGCAGAAAGATTAAAATAAGTAATAAAAAGGAAACTTGTAAGACGGCTCATGCCATCCCTGCTCAAAGCCTTCTCGTGGTTTCCCAGCCTCCTCCCAGGACAGGCCACAGCACCCACCACAGCTATGACCCCTCCTGCATCCTGCCTGTCCCCACCCCCATCTACCGCAGTTACTCTCCCCTCATGCCCCACCCCCAGCCATGCCAGGCAAGTTCCAGCCCCAGGGCCTTTGCACCTGCCATTCCCACCGCCAGGAATGCTCTGGCTTCAGTTGGTGCCCTGGTCTCCTGGTCCATAGCGTGGAGTAAGAGCAGGAGTGGCCTCGTAGGGTTGCTGGGAGGATTTGCTCACAGTTCACTCTGAGTCCTGAGAGCAGGCTTTGTCCGTCCTGGGCTCGGAACCACGACCTGCCAGGTGGCTGGGGGTGGGGGCGGAAGGGCGGCCCCCAGCGTCAGAGTCCTGCCAGCTGCAGGCTCATCCCTAGCTGGCCAGCTAGAAACCTGGGGTTTGACTAGTGCTCCTGCAAGGGGGACCCGTGAGGGGAACCTGTAAGGCCCTCAGGCTCCGCTCCCTAACCGCCACAGGTCTCCCTGAACCCCCCACCCCACATCAGCCTGGCTCCCACACAGCCTTTCCCTAATGAGGCTTCCAGCTGCCAGGCCAGTCTGGGTGCCCATGCACGGCCCCCACTGGAGAGGGAGGGAGGGAGGGAGGGAGGGAGGGAGGGGCAACCAGCCCACAAGCCAGGCCCCCTGCCCGCCTGCTAGCCGAGGGGGCAAAGGCGGGGGTTAGGGCTGGCCGGAGCAGCGGCCCCACTGTACCCCAGCCTCCCTCGGTTAAGGCTGGGGCGCTGGGCTGGGTCTGAGCGTGGTGCTGCTGGCCGACTGGCTGTGGTGGGCAGTGGGGCTCCCTAATGCCATGGACCCTCCCGCCTGCCTGGTTCCGTTCTGCTCCTAATGGCTCAGACCCAGCCGAGCAGAGCCAGGGACTTGGGGCTTCTCTGCCTGGAAGAGAGGCCTGGGCCTTCTAAGGGGTCTCTCCCACCCCAGCAGACCACTGGGGCCTTCCAGGGAGGCTGGAATCAACCTTTCGGGAAGGGGAGTCCGGGGGGGCAAGGATTTCCAGGGACAAAGTCTTCCCTGACTCTTGGCTCCTCTGCCCTTTCCCTCCCTCCTCCCTTCTTCCTCCTCCAAAACACATGTTTTCCGCCCTGACTCAGGCCCCTCTCCCCTCCCCAGCCCCTTCCCATTTCCTCTCCGAGGCATCTGCTGCCTATGGAACTCATTAGGAGACCCTCAGGGCTCGTAACCCAACTCGCCTGGATGTGGGGAGGGGCCTGTCCTCAGCCCCCATGCGGAGAGCTGGAGCAGGCACC